AATCATCACAAACATCGGAACTACTGAATCAGCCCCTTGCTACATATCTTTTAGCTTTCTGTAATCATATTCAGATCCATTTATGGAATCTTAAAAAACATTTTTAGATCTAAACCAAGTCCCGTTTTTCCAGCCAATTAAAAAAAAAAAGGTTCCAAATTTGATAGAAGTCACTATCTTCTTTCTCCTTCTGCACTAAGATCAGTCCATCCATTTCTTAGAGTCCCGTTTTCCTTGACCAATATTAAAAGAAAGAGTGTTCAAATTTGATAAAAGTCAATATCTTCTTTCTTCTTCGATAGTAGCTTCAATCTAACCAACTCTACACAATTCCAGATCTTTTCATTTTTCTAATATTAAACAGATAAACTCCTCATTATAATAGTTACAAATATGATCAAATACATTTTTTGCTTACTAGTATTCCAGTCTAATAGCCACTAAAAAGGAAAGTGAAAGAGAAGAAAAGTTCCAAGCTTAAAAAAAAACTAAAGACTTTTAACCCAATTTATGTTCACATGTCTAACATCCATTTAGCATCTTTAAGGAATATCTTATCTAACTTATTTAACAACAACAATTATCTATGTTATCTTTTAAACAAATTTTCTTTAAGCTAATTTATTAAAGTTTCATCTAGCTTACACTTCACTTAATCACATACAATTAACTCCTTATAAGAGTCCAGTTCCTTACAATCTTTAATATATCTCGCTTGTAAAAAAGAAATCTATTTAGTGCAGCTCCTCCTACTCCCATAATAGGCATTTTCTAGTATAGCAATTCAAAGACAAAAGAGTCATACAACTTAGCTTTTGGTCATTCATTTTTAAGATAAAAAAAGAAAAGAATCTCTCATTTTCCCTTATATCATCCACAAAGAAAAAAAGGGGGGGGGACTCCACTCCTATTCTTCTCCTTCTTAGTTCAGTTTAAATCTTATCTTATAATCTCTTCATAATTCAACACATTTAAATGTAGAAAAGCTTCCACAGTTAAAATCATATACCTTAGCCTTTCCATACCACAATAAACATGCCAACCCATTTATACCATTCGTTTTTAAGATTTCTTTTTTACACCTCTTCCAAACTGCTTTTGTTTTAATAGGGTTTGTTGAAAATCAATGTTTTTAAACTTTACATCTCCAGCCCATCTTTCTCCCCTTGGTGTTATTTGTTCAAAATCAACCCACTTCAAAGTCTGTATTTCAATTTTCACTATTTCTTGCTTTATCTTCAGTGATTGTAGCATTTGTTGTAGGTCAATATTTATTCCCAATGGCTGTGTTTTTTGCTGCAAATCAACCTTCACTGTTTCTTCTTCCTCAAAATCAATTTTAGTTAATTCAGGATCCATCCATCCTTCAAAAAAAATATTCCTTCCTTTAGTGGACAGATTTGTTTCTTTTTATCCACAGTTTCAAATTTTTCAAATACTTGTTGCATTTCTTGTATATTCTGTTCAGTTTTGGATTCTACATCAATCACTATCTCCTTAAAAGAAGCATCAAGCTTATCAAAGCCCTTTTTTTGTACAATTGAGAAGATTTCCTGTTATCTCAACATCACCTCTTGGGATATTTGTAAAATTGTTAAAGATTCTTGCATTTCCAAAAAAAATCTCTTTAGCTCTACCATCGTTGCAATAATTCCAATAGCCACAAAGTGGCAGCCAAGATCAGTTCCACTTTTATTTTCTCTAAATCACTAGGGGTCAGAAGGTTGGCAAGTTGCCAAATACTTTGGCAGAGGTCCTAGAAATTCAGGAGAGGAAATGGGAGATTCTTATATCCTTCCTCTTTTCTCCCTTTCCTCTTTTTTTTTTTTTTAATGCCAATTAACAACAGATAATAGTTTTTCCACAAGTAGTATTGCAAAAGGAAAATAGGAATGCTCATCCAAACAGTCGTCACATTAAAGAAGAAAGCATCCGACAATGTGAAAAATACCTGGCGAGTGTCCAGTTGATCTTGGCAGAAGTCCAAACAGATATCCAAAATGATCGATCAAAGCTTTGAACTCCTATCACGTAATTGCACCTTAAAAATTTAAACTAATTTTATACCCTTAGAGAGGTTAGAGGAAAAAGTCTTTTTCTTCGGCTTCAACTTGGACAAAAGCCTCAGCACTCTCTTATCTCAGTCGCCGCCTAAACATCCGAAGGGTTTTTCTTTTCTTAATGCCAAATTATAAACAAATGCAGCTTTTCCACGGGTAATATTGCGAAAGAAGTAAAAAAATATTTACTCAGCAGTTCCAATGCTTATCTAGCTAATAAAAATCCTAAGCTAATCTTCTAAGATGTCGAGAACTTGAAGGGGCTGAAACCACCCCCTGTGTTACTCGGTTGAGAAGTACCTGAATTGCTCTCAGCAGATAAGAGATTGCCATCTCACATCAAGCCAAAAGCGTGCCCAGGCAATCTGTCTTCACCCCGACAGGGCTTAGATGAGTCTCCCACGACTCGCTGCCGAGTAATACCGGTGTGATAAACGAACTCCGTTAATCACATCCGTCTTGTTCCGACGCCATCTTGGAATCTTGCCTATGTAATGTTAATGTCTCATGTGATTAAAAAACTTGAAGAAAAGAAGTAGAGAAACCATTGTGGGGTTGTTTGGGTATTTGCAGTAGCAACATATTTAATTATTTATTTATTGGATTTATATTTCGCTTTTTCCTTACAGCAAACTCAAAGGTGGCTTGCATAATTCTTCTCCCCTGCTCTCAGTCTTATCCTCACAAGAACCACCTTGTTAGGTAGATCAGGCTGAGAGTCTGTGAGTGACTCAGAGTCTCCCAGATGGCTCCATGGCTGAGTGGGGACTAGGAACCAGATTGCCTGAGTCCCAGTCACATGCTCTTAAACACTATGCCACACTTACTCTCTTATGAAAGAGAGTTTTTGTGCTCATTTATATCTTAACACTTTGATCACACCATTTACCCTGATCCATGCTGACAAGCCACAATTAAATGCTTAATCCTTAAATCCTTTGTTTTCCTTTGCATGCTTACCTTTCAGTGTTTTCTCACTGCTTCTTATTTTTTTAACCACAAAAATATTTTAAGGAGGGAAAAACGGAATAGCCACAAAATGCATTTTCTTTGGCACTACTAGAAGCTGCCTATGGAAGACTACAGTTGAACAGGCTGGAATCCAGAGTCATCAATCATGTAATTACAAATAAAATAGGAAGTCAAAAGCAAACAGGGTAAAGGATAATTTTCATTTAGCATCAGGAGTACAAGATCATTTATTTCTCCTTGTACTGGCACTGTTAATTTGCCTAACCATGCTAATTCCTTCAAATGCATGCATTCTTACATCGAAGGGGAGCAAACATCAGGGGCTGTATCCAACATTCTATTCAGACCAGACACAAAGAAATGAATGAGATTCATGTTTGTCACAACCAGGCCTGTAGGAGCTTAAAAGTTGTGGAGGGGACAGAAAAGTAGGACTGTTCCTTTGGTTTGCATAGACCTTTTAAGGATAAAATTGCAGACTTTTCAGGTTTTGTAAAAAAAAAAAAAAAAAAAAAAAGTACTTGGGGCAGAAAAAAGATTCAGGGAGCGAGTTCTCCCAGCTCACCCCTCTCTACAGGCCTGGTCAACAACTAACAAGTCCCATTCATTTCAATGGGTATTATCAGTGTGGGACTAAAATGGAATGCTAATCCATGTTTGGCTTGTGATTTTGTCTTCCCCCACAGGATAAATGTGAGTATTTTGCTATCATTTTGCTTCCCAGATTTCACTCTAAAGTTTTATTGAGGAACAAAACTGACATAATATTTAGTCAGAGATCATTAGCAGCGTAAAGAAATATTCTTCAGGTAGATAATACCTCAGCAGCAGAACCTTACAAAGTGTGTCCACTGCCGCAGTGGATATGATGCTGCTGAACACTACTATTTCTTGGCATTGTGAAGCAGGGGCTTCTCCACGTGGGGCTTTTAATGTGCCACTTCACTGAGGCTTCTCCTTCCAGATTATTTGATGGACTTAGATCAGCTGCTTACAGGTCTTTTTCATAGGGTCTGGGGAAATTCCTTTCCTACCTTTCTAATGTTTTACTAGACAACCACAACATGGCAAAAGCAGAACTGAAAAAATACATGAGCTTCTCAGTGTTCCGTTTCCAGATAATACGACGTTTTCTGAACCACAAAAGTGCTTGGAAATCATGGGAGAATCCCAGAAGCAGGATGGCTTCATGTAAAGGCCCTGCAAACTAGCATGAGTGAGAAATTATGAGTGCACAACATGTACAGAAGCCCCACATGTTAAGAACGTTTCTTGTGAGGACCTTGGTGTTGGTGGTGGGGCTGGGTTACCATGGGTTACTTACGTGTTGCCCCTACTCAGCTGTGGTATTTCACCATGATAATCACGCAGAATTGTTGTTGTGAGCATAAGATTGAGAACAGGAGGAGAATTATGTAAGCTGCTTTGAGTTGGTTGGGGAAAGAAGCAGGGTATAAATCTAATAAACAGACAAATAGCTGTTGTTTCTATATCCTCTTTGGATGGTACTGTGTTTTTCCCTCCTGTCAATGGCTGAGCTCACACAGGATATTGTGGCTGTACACGAACATTATGACAGTATGTCTCTGCCTCTGGTTTAACTAGGGAATAGCATTACTCTGTTAAAGTAGGAATCAGAGTGTTCCATGGCTGTCTGTTGTAAGTGAAGCAATTCTGGGGCATGCCAGGAACAGTTCCCCTGAACATTTTCAGCTATCATTGTGAAGTGCCTATTTCAAAGACATTCTTGGTTTGCTACATAACCTATTTTTCAGTTTGTTATAGTGAATCCTGCAGTGTATTACTGAAGGTAATATATATCCTGCGACCGATGTGTGTACACTGTTAGGTTTGTGTGTGTAGTGTTGACTTTTGATTATAGCAAAGAGGACACACACCCCTATCTTCTTCCATTTATTACTGATGTTGCCTCTTAACTTTTCTGATTCTCATCTGTTCTCCTTGCAGTGCTTTACAACCAGTTGCACGGCCCACCGCACCTGTAGCAAACCAAAGCTATCTCAATGGGGTGTCAGACATTCCGCTTCTTTCTAAAACTCTGCATCAATGCCTGGACGAGACAACCCACCGGTATCCTGACCGAGAAGCCTTAGTTTTCTCTACAGAAGGGATTCGAAAGACTTTTGCCGAGTTTAAACAAGATGTAGGTGACTGTCTCATTTGTTACTGAAACTTGGCTGCCACTGCTGACTATTTGTTCTTCCATGATCATACTATTTAATCAGTTTGTTCATATTGGATTTTAAAAATCAGTGGGATAAATAAGAGTAGCAAATAGAATTATTACTTATTTATTACTTATTTAATACTTATTGTATATTAAAGTCAAAAAGAACAATGACACTTTAAAATTAATGAGTTAAAAACTGCTGATAATATCAAACAAGTGTATTTGTGAAATAAAAGGTGTAAAGGCTCCAGCTTTACTGGAAACTGCAATCATTGTCAAAATCCTTTCCCCCCGTTGCTAAATGCTTTTTCAGCAAGTGTCCATGGGCAGCAGGGTGGTGTGGCAGATGAACTCCCAAAAATGTGGGGCTCCAATTAAGGATTTAGTTCCCCAGCTCTAGTGAGCCATACCCTAACACTGTCTCTGCTGGGCAACCCCACAAAATGCCTGCTGTGGGAGGTGTGATTAGCCACAAAGGACAAGTCATCTCCCCAAAAGACTGAGCAGGTAGAAGTGAGGACTGAGACTTAACATACTACACACCTTTGAACACACAACCTTCAGTGCCAACAGAAACCGATTTCACAGAAGGCAAGCCCTTTTTCTTCCCTCACTGTCTACCAGTTATTCCTTTATCTCTCTTTTACACCCATACATGCACTCTTTTTCACTCTGGCTCATTACTGGTCCACACATGCTCCATCTTACCTCCTCCTCGCTCACAGAGCACACTCCCGTTCGCCATTCATCCATTCATTCTCCATCCATCCACCCATCCATCCACACACACACACACACACACTCATGCAAATACCCTACGTATCCACCATACAAATATGCGGGGTGGGGGGTGTGCATGCAGGCACACACACACATGCACAGAACATTACCTTTTCCTCTTCACTGCAAACACATTGAAAAGCGCTCTTTTCAGGGCCCCTCCCAAACCCCTCTTAAACCCTTTCTCTCTCTCATGTACATGCATCCCCCATCCATTCAGGTAAATAAATAAATACACAGCCCTCTCCGAGCCCCCAGGTTGCTCCCAGCTGGGGGCTCCCCAGGGACCCCTGCTGGCTTCCTGTCCCATTACCAAAGGCTCTCCAGGTCTCCCTGCTTTCCTGAGCCCACCCTGTCCCTTTTCTTCTTGGTGGCTGGATGGGTTGCGAATCATCCTGAAGCTGCAGCTCATTTTCATTGTATAAGCATGCCTCTGAGTTCTCCGTTAGGCCCAGCAGCATCGTGGGAAAGGAAGGTCGCAGTGGATGGAGGCCTCCACTTAACTAGAAGCTAATCCTCTCTGCCAGTAAGGAAATGTGTTAATTAAAAACAGAAATTGTGATGGGCCCAGGAAAGGTTTTTGGGGGGATGGACTGGTGCATGTGGATTCATATTACCTATGCTTGCTTTAAACCTTTCATATCCTGCATTGTTGTCAAGACACTGAGCAGAACCTTATTTTCATCACCTCCATCATTTCCTGTCTGTTTAGCTCAATTTGCTGAGACCTTGTTTCTCTCGTAAACTGTAGGTGGAGTTGGCAGCAGCGGGGCTTCTGGCCCTTGGTTTGAAAAAGGGCGACCGGCTGGGAATGTGGGGTCCCAACAAATATGAGTGGGTCCTAATGCAATTTGCCACGGCCCAGGCAGGAATCATCTTAGTAAGTTCTTCTTGTTTATAAATAGCTGAGTAGTCCATAGGAATTTGTAGAGACATGATGCTGACAAAGGGAACTTGTATATTTAGAGTTCACAGAGCCCCTTTGTATTATCAGAACTACACATACCTATAGCACCATTATATAAATGTGTTTGTGTTTGGGTTAAAAATAATCACAAAGACTGTATATTTCAGGATTATCTGGCTTCCTGTTTTGCCCAATGAAGCATTCCATAAGGCTTGAATGCCCCTTACTAATATATACTGCTCTAATAAAAGGTGCAATTTATCTCAGGCTAAGTTTGTATTTACTGCTAATACTGCTTCTGAGCCTTTGTCCTATGATTGTTGTGTGTGTGTGTGTGTGTGTGTGTGTATGGATGGATGGATGGATGGATGGATGGAGGTCCTTACCTAGCTAGAAGGTATGTGTAAGATAGAAATGCAACTTGAAATCAATAGATGCCAATTCAGAAAGGTAGCTGTCCAACGGCGGTTCAGTCTTCCTGCAGTTTTGGTGTTGCCTGTGTATGATATGAAGGGCGTATTCAGTTGTCTACCGGCCATTGTTTTCCATGGAGTTACATGTGTAAGAATGGCTAGTTTTTTCATGTTAACTTCTCTTCCCTATATGGAAATAACTTTTAGTCAATACTGACAGGTATAACATTTTAACAGTTTATGCTTCTATAATAGTGGATGCCATTGCAATGCACACTGCCCTCTAAAGGAAATAGATATGCAAAAAAAGTATATGGGCACAGCATCTCCTTTTCTTAAATGCCCATGATCATGTAACTAGAAATATACTCTTTAATTGCTGGTTTATTTCACTTTTCCCATCCCCCCTATTTTACCCCATTATATACAGTCAAGGGTAAATTGTAATGGCAGTAGCTGTAGACAAGCCAAGAAAGCGTACTTTTAAAGCTCAAAATGATACTTCAGTTATTGTGAAATGTATCTCTTAGGAACTACAGGCATGAGGATTTTGTTGCTTAGTAAAAAACGGGATACAAGGATCATGCTCCCCAGTGTACACATCTTCCATGTGTTGGTTGAGTGTACATATTTTTCAACTATTCACCAAATGTTTCTACATGTCTGGGTCAGAGAGAGTGGAACCTGTAACCCTCCAGATGTCAGACTACAACTCCCATGATCCTGGCTGGGCAGGTTGCCATTGGAATCCAACTCCATCCTGAGTGCAGGCTTCCCCACTCCCTGATCTCAGTTACAGCCTTGCTTAGTGTCTTGCAGAGGGGAGCTTCCACAGAAACTTTAAGCCTTCTGTGAACAGGAGTCCCTCCCTTCATGGAATGTCCGATTCAGTCCATTATCTCATAAGAAGTGATTAGGCAAGAGGTTATCTGACTGATGCCATCTTTTTGCATTTTCAGGTTTCTGTGAACCCAGCATATCAATCCAGTGAGCTGGAGTTTGTGCTGAGGAAGGTATGCCAGACCTGGTGTGATTAGAACTACTTCCCTCTATCTGCAGCATTTCAAAACAAAAGAAATATTCAATCCTCTAAACATACAGTGTATGTGATAACAGCTTGCTTTGGAGGAGAGTGCAGAAGTAGGCAGTGAAGCATTTGGAGCTTTTTAGTGTCGGAAAAAATAACCAAAGAGGAGGAGAAGTGCAGTTATGGTTCTCTCCCCTTCTGTCCCCTCCCCTTACAATTTTATAATACTGGCAGTCAAATGAAGTTAATTGGCAGTAGACTGAGCACCAACAAAACGAGCATTTCTTTACACATGCTAGAATTCATGACCACAATATGTGATGACAGCAGCTGGCTGAGATGGTTATTAGAAGACATATTCATGAAGGATGGGACAGTGGCAATAGGCACAATACTCAAATGCAACGGCCATGTTTAGAGAAGAGCAAGACATTCACCATGTCTTGCTTATAAACTTCTGATGGGCAGAGGCTGGAGAAAGAATGCTGTGCTTGAAGGATCTTTGGCCAGATCCAACAAAGCATTTATTATATTAAAAAAATACCTTGGGAAAGATATTCAACTAGGACTAGGCAACTTTTTCTTGAAAATTTGAGAATACTCATACATCTTCTCAGTCCTCATAGGGCAACTACTTGGCGTGTTGGACAATCAGTTACATGTATCATTGCAAAGATGTCCTTGAGCTCCTCTTAGGAAGGCTGATGGGGCTGTGCGATGTAGAAGAATGAGAAGCAGCCACTTAGGCGCCAACCCAAGCAGAGTTCTCAGCCGTAGCAAATTCCAGAGCTGATAGCTGGAGTTGCAAGCAAGACATAAATAGTAGTACATTATTCCTGGAGCATCCAGTTGGGTAGCGTCCAGGAAAGTCAATTGTACAATGCACAGAGACAGTGCTGGGTTTTAACAGGCCACAAATTTACTGGTTTCAGTTTAGAGTTTGATATGGACCAGTCTCTTAATTGGGCAGCCCCAACCTGCATGCTGGGTTGCCCTTTAATGTGGGAGGTGAGGTTTCAGCAGAGCATGGGCAGATCCTGCCACAACACATACTGCTTGCGTGGGTCCCTGTTCCTCAAGAAAGGGCGCTGGCATAGAGCCCCAAACTGGGCTGCACCCCTCAGCCCCACCCATGGGAACTCCCCCATCTTTGATAGGAAGGAGGCATGTACTTCCTTTCCCTTCGATTTCAATCCAGCCCTATCCCATTTGCGTCAAAATGGGGACAGTTCTGCCTAGCCTTTATCTTCAAATCAGCTTGCATTGCTGCAGGAAAGACAAAACTCCTATGGAGCAGGCCAGTCTGCCTCACTAGGTAAATTCTTTCCCAGCCCCATCAGCTGGTGGCTGACCAATAATGTGATGCTCAAATGCCATGGCTACTGGTATAGGGAGCTGGCTCCCATTGGGTAGCCACAGAGCAGAAAGCTTCTCCCAGCCTCCTCTGACCTCCTCAGTCCACTGCATGGCCATTTGGGCCTGGGGAACCGTGCGGTGTGAAACTATGAGCACAATGAGGAGAGTCTCCCCTTTCCCACCACGGCTGCTGGTGCCAAGGTGCAACCCGGGGAAGTCACGGCGTCAGGCTTGCTGGCGCTGTGCTGCGTGAGACGCAGGGGCCTAAAATACACCTGGCATTCATGTGGATGCCATTTGTTTGCCTCATAGTTTCCTAAACAACATAGGTGATTTCCACAAAGGGAGACTATCTCTGACGTGTTCCTTCACCTTAAAAAGAGGACTAAAGATATTAATTGCCTTGTGAATAAAGTTAATCCTGCCGTAAACCTATTGATTTAAAAAAAAAAATAATGTAGAAAATTGGCACCACCATAGAGAGAGAGGAGAAGGGGAGTGAGGGAGGGCCTCCAAATCATCATCATCAGAGAGAGAGAGAGAGAGAGAGAGAGAGAGAGAGAGAGAGAGGGGAAGTGGAAGTGGAAGTGGAAGTGGAAGTGGAAGAACGAGGCCTCCAAAGCTGGCCTTTCTGCCCTGCCCATCCAGAGAGCGAAATCTCTCCAGCATTTCCTTGCTGCAAAGAGGAGACGCTGGTGAATTTACCGGGGGGGGGGGGTGAGATTTGTGGTTTTTCCACTTTCATGGGGGCCCTGTGCCCCTGTCCCCCACAAATGTGGAGGGCTGACTATATCTAATCCAATTTACAGACAAATTCAACTTAGGGACAAATTTCCATTTTCTCAGGAGTGAAACTTGTTCATAACCCCGGGACTGCTTGTACTATGCCACTTAGTGACAGAATGTAGAAAAGCAAAGAAATCTAAACCCTAGGATGAAACCCCATGTAAAGGGTGCCTTTTTGCTCCCACAAAGAAAACAGAAGAACCCCCCAGTAAAGCAACAGGTCACACCCCTCGTGTGGAGAAGCCCTCTGAGTGCCCATGAAATGCTTGGCTGCCAACTCTGCTTTCCCAGAGCACTTACAGTGCCAAAATGCAGCAGGCATCAGTTGCACAAGACCCGGAATGAGGGACAGTCAGACCCATCAGTAGCCTCTTTCTTGTCCTTTTCTGTTGCTCTGCCGAAGCAAGGGAACGAGCAGGCATGTTTTATGGTGCTTCCGGGTATAACTGCAGAGAGCTTGCTTTTGCTTTCTCAAAGCTGTTTTCTTTATCCCTGCACCTGAATTACAATGTCTAATGTCCAGTTCAAGACTAGGAGCTGTGCACATTCTTCTCTTAGGATGAAAATATATGCACACTTACCTGGGAGTGAATCCCGTTTAATTCAGTAAGATTTATTGGTAAATAACCACCCTTAGGCTTGGCCTTGTAGGCTGTGATGTAGGCATACCAACTTTGGTCTAAGTCCCATTCAGGACTAGCCTCACCATAGAGGCAAACTAGGCAATGCCAGTACTCTAGGGTTTCCTACCTCAGGTATAAATACATTTTGGAGAAAGGACAGCAGCCTCCCTGCATTTGAATCCATGTGGGAGGGGAAAGTACAGTGGCAACATTCTAGAGATATGAGACAGAGAGTCTAAAGGAGAGTGTAAAGAAGTTACAGCATTATAAATGAAAAAAAAAAGCATCCTGGTGAACTCTTGATCGTCCAGTAAAGGATTGTTTTGCTGTTCTGCAGCATATAGCAAAGCCTGGGAAAGGGTGGAGTAGATGAAACTCTAATTCACCTAGAACAGCAAAAGCCTGTCTGGGACTTTACCCATAGAAATCACTGAGATTTACATCCAAGTAAACGTTTTATAAAAATATTTGACATTCACTTTTCCCCATGAAACCCAGGGTTGCGTATACAGGGTTGCAAGACGAATCCAGGCATGTAGCTTTGGCAGGTTTCCTGTATTTTGTGTATCCAGATACCTTGGTACCAGCCTCCATAGGAGTTACCAGAGAAAAGTAGTTTACGGTGTGTTTGGTTTTTCTCATAAAACTAAACAGAAAAGTTTTGAATACAGTACTCGTATCCAAAAGGACCATGAAGCTTTAGGGTATATGATTCTTTTTATGAATTTATTTCATTTTTTAAAGTTTAGGCTTTCTTTAAGGATGGCTCTTGCCTATAAGTTCACTTTGCAAGGACTTTTTTTAAGGTTATGACCTTTGTTCTGATGAAAGGTGTAACTGTAAATGGTATTTAAGACACAATGTTCTTCTGCTATAAAATTAAGATGCACACTTTTTGAAAACAACTATTTAGGTTTCTGTCCTATATACACTTTTACCTGTGCATAAATCCCACTGACCTCAAGGGGACTGACATTTGAGTAGATATTTGTAGAATTAAATTCTAATGTTCTAATAATCACCATAATTTGAGTGTGGGGAAAGGATTGTCACCAAAAGGAGTGGAGTTTGTTTTGGATTTTTTGCTATTGCTTTTTCATGTAAAGCACAATTGCTTTCTCAGTTGATTTTGATGAATTGCTTCCTCGACTCTTTATTATTATTAATTTTATTTCTAAACTACCAACAACTGATGCTTTCTGGGCAGTTCTGCTCTATTGTTTGCTAATAGCGCACTATTATCTTTATAATAAAAATTGTTTGTGCTGGGTTGTTGAACTGTCATAATGTAGGAGATTTACATGATTGATCTGTCTACCTCTTCTTGCCCAACTGTTCTGTCAATTAATACTTTGTGCAAAGATGAAGCTGTCTTATAGCAAACCAGACCTTCACCTGTCTGGCTTACTGGCAGCAGTTCTGCAGGATTTCACCGAGGGGTATTTCCCAACCCCATCCGGAGAGGCCAAGGGTTGGACTCGGGACTTTCTGTATGCAAAGTGTGTGTTCCACCATTCAGAAATGACCTTTCCCTTATTTTTCTCTCATTTATTGAAAGCATTCTTATCCTGTCACTTAACCAAAAACAAAAAAAGGGGGGGCTGCTGCAAGCATAAACAGGGGTTACACAGTGCCAAGTCTAGGGAAAACCAGATCAGCATCCAACGTGAAGGGTCAATACAAGCTCATTTGCATCATACACGAGTGTGAAAGCTGTATCATCCCCATTCACAATAGGGAATTCTTCTTGCACTTTCTTCTGTAATATGATGTTATTGCAGAGATGGAGTGGTAACCCCCCCCCCCACTTTCCCCCTTCTCTTTAGGTTGGCTGCAAAGCACTGGTATTTCCTACGCAGTTTAAAACACAGAAATACTATGAGATCTTGAAGGATGTTTTCCCTGAGCTGGAACAGTCTAGTCCAGGAGCATTGAAGAGCAAGGAGTAAGTGCCTTAATTCATTGGCCTCTTTCAAGGCCTGGTCTTACAGTATTTTTATTTTGACAAACCGCCAGAAGAAGAGTCCACATAATCACTCAGAAAAGCATTTGGGACAGGAGGACAAGGCTCTCCACTTCCTGGACTTGGTGGAATCTGCCATAAGGGAAACAGGATGGGTTCAAACATTATCTCAGTTCTGTCACTTCCCCCTCTTTTTAATATCTTCTTCTACCTGCCTGTAGCTGCCAATGGCAGTGATATGGAGAATGTGAGAATACCCTGAGTCAAGGTTTTGGCCCATGCAACTTACTGTGATATATTAGGATTGGCAATCACACTACAAGGCCTTAGGACTTCTCCCTGTGAGACTTTTAAGTCTGTGATTCACTGAGGCTTCTTCACTTTCCTTGGGAAAGTGAGAAAGAGCAAGAACATCATATACATGTGGCTTTTTTCAGGGTTTTGCTTTCTTTGCCTTTGGATGAATTATGACATTATTCCAGTTGGTCATGCCTTCAAGATTAATTGCCTCATGATTCTTACCTTAAGAAAAAGCCATGAAAAAATGGCAAGCAATGTGGGAAAGCCCATGGAAAATGAGACTGTTGTCGAGAAGATTCACCAACCACCGTGAATTAAGGGTCACAAGCACAAGCTCACAATTAATGCCTCATGTAGTCCTTAAGTAGATGCCTTTCTCAGTCTTGCTGGGCACCAAGTTCAAGCTGGAGATATTAAAATGTGTCCTTATTCTGAGCAATGGCCCTCCTGCAAAACAGCATGAATGCTCAGAAACTACCTACAGGCATACCTCTATCATTTGTTAGACCATTTTTCAGTGTGTTTCATTTAGAATATTTTAAATAGTACACAACGTACTTCACATTAATACCTCAGTTATAAACATGTTTTGAGAAAACAGAACAAATAATGAACACAATTAAACCCTGGAACATTTAGTAATATTTCGGGATATGCCATGCCTTGCAAAAGTATTCACCCTCTTTGACTTTTCCGCACTGGAATTGAAATACATTTAATCGGCATTGTTTCACATTGTGTACACAAGATACTCAATGCTGTGAAGTATCAACGCTGTCGTATTCCTCCAATTTCTTATTACAATCCAGAGTGAGTGTTACAATCTATGTACTAAGGTGATAGTGCATAGATTGTTGTTATAATGCTAACAATGGAAACTGTCCCGAGACGTTAATAATGGGAGGGTCTATAAAATCTTTTAATCAATCAGTGGGACTTTTAAAACAGTACAACACCCTGTCCAAAAAAGCTTTTTTTTGACTGCATGTTCCTGAACTTTTCCTTGCAGTTAAAAAAAAATATCTCCTCTACAAGGAGTAATCAGAGTCACATTATTTCGCAGCAAGTGGGCCTTCTAATCAGGTAGTTTCCTGTGCATGTCAAGGAGGTTCAAATACTGATTTGGTCTGCACCCCAGGAACTTACCCCTTTTTCCCTTGGTACTGAGCAGACCTTCCTTTATTCCAGGCTACCAGATCTTTCTGTGGTAATCTGTGTGGACTCCAAGCTGCCCGGAACATTCTCAATGGATGATGTGATGCAGGCTGGAGAAAACAGTCACAAGAAGCAGCTCCAGGATATTCAGAAGAAGTTGGACTGCAAAGAACCCATCAACATCCAGTTCACTTCAGTGGGTATCGCATGTGCTTTTTCTGGTGTTCAAAGCATGCAGCAGCAGGCTCCAGCAATCAGGAAGTGGCATAAGATTTGCCAAAGGGTAGTGTTTCAAATCACTTGTACAAAAGAAGTTGCCTACATTTGCATTAATTTAGTTTTCTGTGGATTTTTTTTCTGTGGTTTATTGTTTTATTATGGGTTTTTTGCAGAATCTGGAATGTTTTGGCAGTACCTGAAGTGATGCATTAGGGCAAGTGGCTGTATTAAGATCAAAAGGATTATTAGCTTGGAAAGGAAAAGGTAGCTACAAGAGGCATAGAAGTTCTAGGTTCTGACCACTTCATGCCTGCCCAGATTTCCTTTTTGCTGTCTACATTTTCATGGCTTATATTTTACTTACAACTTCATACCCTTGAAGTTTCTAGTTGGCAGAAACTTCTCAGCAGATTCTCATTCTAGAATGCAAAAGTAAAATACAGGCAGAGGCCATCTCATGTGATGCGAATTTACTAGCCTGGCCTGCAGGAGGTGGGCAATGCAGGCATCTTGGCCACCAAGGAATCCCTGCTGTATCTCTATTTTTTCTGTATCTCTGAAGAGCTATACCAGGGCCCTCTGCTCTGTATATCCAGGCTGGAGACCCATCAGTCTGCAATCCTGTCATCTGGAAACTGCACAAGATGTGCTCAACTGGCTTTTTGTTTCTTGGATCATGGATCCAGACTGAGTCCAATTGGTCTATGCTGCTTTGATTGGTCTATACTGTGTTTTCAGAAGCCACGTTGCCCATTTCTTTCCTCATCATCCTCAGACTTCTATCACTTTTGCCCTTCCCTTTCCTCTCTGAGAACTATACTGCTTCCATTCCATTTCTAGTAGCTGTTTAAACAACACTTGGGTTGCTATTCATGACAGGTCTCTTGCATTTCTGAAACTCAAGCAGGTCCTGGATTATTAGGGTTGTTTGCCATTGAGATCTTATTATATCAGTGGTGGCGAACCTATGGCACACTTGCTGCAGTGGGCACGCAGAGCCCTCTCTGTCAGCACGCGAGCCAAGTTGCCCCAGCATTGCCCCAGCAGCCGAGCATCGGATAACAGCACACATAGGGGCCATGCGCATGCTCGGAAAGCAGTAGGGGTGCCAGGCGATGATGTCACAAGCTGTGACTCATTAGCTGCGACTCATCCAAGCTTTCACATGGCCAGTCAGTGGGCTGCCAAGGGTATATATACATATTTTATTGGAATGGCTGTGAGTTTTAATACATTTGTTTTTATTAACACAAGATTTTACCTTTTAGTTTTCTTATGAAAAATTGAAATTTAATATCTAAGATTTAGCAAAGAGATGTTCTAATTAAGAGACTGAGATTCTTTTAATGTTGTGTTGTCCCCCTGGCATATTTGAATCTACAGCATCATATTGAGTTGTTTTGAAGAATTTATGAAAACTAAAACCTTAGTACTCAAGTTTCATTGCAGTGTTGGCACTTTGCGATGAGTAAGTGGGTTTTGGGTTGCATTTGGGAACTCGGTCTCTAAAAGGTTCGCTATCACTGTATTATACTCGTACAATCTCATTTTAAAGCAATTTATGTACTAAGGTATTGTAATCAACCCCCTAATATTCAAGTCCTTCCAGGCAAACCTTTTATTGTGCAATCATTCTGCCTCCTTCACAGAATTGTAGAGGGGCCCAAATAACCAAGTCTTCAACTTGTGGCCTTCCAATGTTTTCCCATTCTTCCACTTTGTGCAGCTATAGCACAAAGCTGCACAAACGACTTTGCTGCAGTGAGGTATAATGAGTAAAATAAAAACATTCTCTTTTTTCTGCAGGGAACAACTGGAAGCCCCAAAGGGGCCACACTTTCTCACTACAACATTGTGAATAATGCCAATCTGATTGGTGTGAGGATGCAAATTGATGACGGGGTAAGCCTCAGTCTTAAGGAGCAACATAAATTTCCCCAAAGAATATAAGAAGAGTGTTTGATGCAACATGGAATTATCTAATGCCAGCCCATCTAGTTTTTCATCTTTTTTAGCAGCATTTCCTGAATGTTTTCAAGGTCTTTGCTACAAATTTGAGGATCAGTAACCTGGATTTTTAAAAATTAAATTAAGAAATGTACCAAGAAATATATTCGCACATTCTAGGTTATTTGGTGTTCTGCTTATCTACCTAGCATGAAAGTGGCATATCCATATCCATTAGAAATGATGTGGAAGTTAAAGATTGTCTAACGCTGGGACATTTTGTACTTGGAAGTTATTTTCTAATGGTGAAGGTTTAATATTACCTGTAAGGCCAGGAACTGAAGCAATACAGCTTTGCAACACGCACTTTCCTCACAACCACCCACTGTCCCATTCATGCAACTTCAACTCTCTCTTGCCCAATTCTCCTCCAGGCATTAATCTGGTTGATGTGGCAAAAAACTGTGTAAATGACTAAGGATAACACTGGAAAACAAATCCCCTCCTTTTTTATTTGTCTTGACCCTAGGATGGCCGCTGTTGTCTTCCTGTTCCCCTCTACCACTGCCTGGGGTCTGTGGCAGGCTGCATGGTGATGGCCATTCATGGTGTTTCTCTTGTCTTCCCCTGTCTAAGTTTTAATGCAAAAGACACACTAAAGGCACTGGACCATGAAAAGTAAGCTAGCACTCTTTGTTCCAGAAAGAAATAGCTTTATACTAATATAATGGGATGGTGTAAATTGGTGTCCTGGGATGGCAGGGGGTTGGACCTGATGGCTTTCTTGACCCCTTCCAACTCTATGATTCTATGATTAGTCAGGGCAGTCCTTAGTTGTATCTCCATTGGCATGTGGTCCCAGCTTCTGGATGATCCCCATTTCTTTTGAGAGTGCCAAGAGCTTCCTGGTTTCCCTTTGTTTGATTAAGTCAATTTCGTGCTGAGGATTCTGTTCAGCCTCTCTTGCCTCTCCTAAGAATTGAATCAGAAATTCATATCTAAAGACTTACTCTCTTAAGAGTTTGAGCTCACCTGGCCATGTGATATTACAGAAGGAACCTCTCCCTCATGGAACATCGTATTGATTTGCTTTGACATTTTGCCTCTTGGAATTTTTTGTACATTCAAGTGTTACAAAATCCTCTATTACCTGTCCTAGAGATGGGAAAGCCAGGATTAAAAATATGAGGGAAAAGGCAGGACAAATTGGGAAAACCCCTCATTCCCTTTAGATTTTCCAAAAACTGCTTGAGAAAAGCAAGTGCTACAAAAAATCTTTTCCTCCTTCTGCTTTTTCTGTTGTTTTACCCATGCCTTCATATCCCTAAGCTGTCCCCTGGCAGAACATATATCTATTAGGTCATCGAGATGATTCAACCTTTTCCTGTGAGGTGAAGGAGCTTCTCATAGCCCATGAAGCTGGGAGGTGGGAGTTCTTTCAGGTGCACTTGGACAACAAGTGATATGTGCTTAGCATTTGAACACTCATTTCTCTTTGCACTTGTGAATCAGTTTCTCAAGGTTACCGGGAAATGATGCTTAACCTTGGTAGTAAAATTCAATTGTACAATTTGGAGATTGTGTATTTGCAATCCAAACTGGGCAGAGAACTGAGTTCTCATATTCCTGCATTGATTTTAGTAACCTGCAATTTCTTCTCTTTATTTGAAGATGCACCCATCTACATGGCACTCCAACCATGTTCATAGATATTCTAGGCCAGCCTGACTTCGCCAAGTACAATCTCTCAAATCTTCGGGGAGGTGAGTATAAGAACCCACGTGTAAGAAGTTTAAACTAGGGTTGTTAACTGATTTATGAAAATTGAGTTCTCAACCAATTCTTTTAACTGCTGGGAGTGCAATCCAATGCCCTCTTGCCCTGGTTGCTTGTCAGCCTCAGAGCCCAGAGACTTGCATGCACAGAGCACCCGCCATTAAATGCAGCAGCCGTCTTCACTGCTACAACACCTTGCACCATCTAGAGGAAGCACACTGGAGAGGGTGGGAAGCAGGCTGGAGCGCTGTTTGGATATGGGTTAAGCCATCAGCCCCAGCCTCCATCCCTCCCAGTCCCCCTGTGCACCCCCTTTTCAGCATTTAAGGCCGGTTTGTGACTTTGGAGATGGAGCCAAGCAGTTGTGTCTGTGACACCTGCGAGGAGGCCAGGGCAGGGGTTTGGTGTTTGAAGACCCACCCCCAGGTCCTGCACACTCAGAGCTGTGGCTCTGAATGTTGGGGACCATAGGGCTGCACCCTTGATTTTACGTTGGCATAAATGTACATGTCATGGATGAGCTACGGAAGGGAGTTAGAGATTGCTCACAGCCTAAAAAGGAAAGCTACTATATATGGTTAAAGGAAAGTTCTCTTTAATATCTCAATTTTCATTGCAGTAACATACAACCAAAGTACCCCCCAAAATAAACATTGCCCATTCTCATTGATTCAGGTTCTATTCAATTACTTTCCTATGTTAGAAACAAGACTGCACACAGGGACTGGTCTTAATGATTAGACTGGTAGGGTCACAGCCTCAGAAATGTTGCTTGTTCCCAACATATGAAGGTGGTTGGACAGCTAAACTTCTTCTTATTAGCATTTATTGTTGTTAAAAGAAGTGTACTTGCGTCATATTCTCTCCATAGTACTGCCTGCATTTCTCCATGCAGTAGCCCTTAAGTAAGTGTGTTGTGAGAGTTTGAGCTTGGTTCAGAAGTGAACTCACATGATTGCCAAAAACACATTTCAAATTAGTTCTTGTTTGGTTCTTCACACACTGACCTACACAAGCAATTAAAAAAACAACAACAACAACCCAGCTAGCACAATACAGCATGTGTACAAATGGTCCCAAGTAGATTGTGTGTGAGAGCCAGTGTGGTGTAGTGGTTAAGAGCTTAGGACTGGGACTCAGGCGATCTGGGTTCTAGTCCCCACTCAGCCATGGAGCCAGCTGGGTGGCTTTGGGCCAGGCACAGGCTCTCAGTCCAACCTACCTCACAGGGTTGTTGTTGTGGGGATAAGATGGAGGAGAAGAATGATGAGTATTGCCTTGAGCCCTTTGTAGGAAAAAGGCAGGATATAAATCAGAAAATAAATCGGAAATAAAATAAATTGTCTGGAAGACTGAATAACACTCCTCATCAAACTCATTTTCTCTTCTGTGGAGTAATCATGGGACAATTTATGTGAGCTTTTTGCTCTTTCTGTTGAATGATCCCTTTCAGCATTCCACTGGAAGGGTGTTTCTCTTTTTTTATCCCTATATCCACCAGTGTGTGGCAGCAGACGCTAGGTGGGCTGCAGACCTGTGTTTGTCTCAGAGTGAACAGAAGGAGTCCCGAGACAACCTTTGCACTTAAACATGTTCTTTGCACATTATTCCCCTCCTGCATCATCATCATCATCAGATTCTAAGAAGCTCCTCAAAGATATGTTGAGATTCTACACTCTGCCATAATTCGGCTTTTCCAAATTCTCATCTAATGGAAGTAATTTCAAAGCTCAGAAGTTTCAGGGCTAATCCTGGACAACGCAAGAATGCATTTAAAATGTTCACTTGGTCCTTTAGAAGACGTTTCAAGGTAACCATTATTGTCTTTCAGGAGTCATTGCAGGTTCGCCAGTGCCTCCTGAAGTTATGAAGAAGATAATCAAGAACATGAACATGCGGGAGATTGTGGTGAGTTGCCTTTTGTCTTTTGGTTGCACTCTGGTGAGTACAGAATGATGATTTCTCCTGTGTGCACATGTGTGTGTGCATGTATATTTTTATGCACAGAAATGTTGTGATGACTTGCAGGATTCACTTGCTTTTAACGGTCCCCTTAAATATGACAGTTCACCTGACTTGAGCTGAAAACCGAAGTTATAACTGGAGTTTGAAGGAATGCAAAAACTGTAGGAACAGCTGCATTATTGGAAGGAAGATACAGACCATATGCTGTGAGAAGGGAATGATTTGCAGTGGCATATCAGGTTACTGCACTGATTTGAAGCCCAAACTGAGTCTTTGTCTTACCATTTTGTGTTGTTAAGCATACTCAAGGAATTCTGATATAAATTTGACCCTTTGATTTAACCCTCTTCTGCACTGTGGCAGAAGTCCTTTGAAAATGTAATGTTACAAGCTGCTCTGAAGGCTGCCTTTTAAAAAGTTAACTCTTCTGGATTTTTTTGCAAGTAAGAGCCATTTCATTGGGGCCACAAGTACCCTGGAGGAACAACAGAATGTGACAACCTGTTACTTGGGAAATGAGAGCATTGCTAGGAAGCATGATAGATCACTGGGTGCTCAGATATGCATGCAGTTAATTTGTTGACATTTGTGTTTGCATTTTTTGAGGAGCATGTGCTGACCTTCCCCCGCATACAGGAACCGAGTCTCAATGCAATATGTACTAGCTGTTTCTTACAGACAGACACTTGCTAACCAAGAAAGCCTCTATGCGAACTTACATGTTGCCTCATACTCTACCTATGCAATTAGTAATGAAGAGCTCTCAGGGTTCATACCAGGGTTTCCTCTTAGTGACTTTGGTTGGTGATTTCACAACGTACACTTCAGTAAGACTCTGTGGGCTGCTAAGTGCTCTAAATTTCACCTGTCGGAAAAACAGATATTTCTTTCTCTAACTTGAAGAGTGAAACAAAATTTAGTTTTCCCTGGTAGCATTTAGGTTTCTGTGCCAGAACACCTCTATAGAAACTCCATTGCATTAGGATCCTATATCAAGCACAGGAGTTGCAAAAAATATTGTATACCCCAGACAAATCTGTTACTTATTGTACTGTTACACTTCTTGAGGTTTGGGAGAGGCGTTTAGAATATTCATGTACATCTCATGTGCAACCCTGAGGACATTGTTTGCCACAGGACAAAGCCGGTACGCTGTGCTTCCCCTTGTTATTCTGCCGGCATGTGCAGCTGCACTGCCTTTAACATGCCTATTCTTAGCTTTGGAAAGAGCCAGCTCTGCACTTGGAGTACTCAGGCTGGGGAGGGACTGCTGCCGTTGCGCCTGTGGTCCGTGCACATTTTCTAGCACTGCAGCACTGCATGTCGTGGTCAGGTGCCTGCAGTTGATAATCTCAAGTGATGAGAAGAAAGATCCCCCCCCCCAAAGGCAATGCAGAATGTACTTGTGCAAGAGACCGTACATTGAGCATCCTTGACGCAAGATGCTTCACAAACATTCTCAACATACAGAATTATTCTTGTAGCAACAGCAGAGCTAAATCATTCATTATTTGTCAGTATTCCTTGGGCAATTTTTGAAAGCCACTCAATTTCAGACTCACGGAAGAGATAAACGCATGAAAACAAGTCCGCTTCCTTTTTGCAGCAAGCGCTTTATACAGAAGGCATACATAAGAAAATATACGATTTGTTTTCTATATAAGAGTAAGAGGAATATTTCAATTAGAAAATCCTCCTAGGAGTCATTTACACTCAGTAACAGAGGAATAAATATTATATATTTATATAAATCTTTAGGATTAAAAATGCAGTTAAATTGAAATTGTGGTACTGTAAAATCCATGACGATAAACCACAGTCATCTTGCTGCTTACAGCTACAATGTTCTGGGGCAGTGGTGGTGGTGGAAGCGTAGTTCTCCAGGGCTGTAGGTGAGAGTCTCTCTCTGCCTTTTTCCCCTCTCACTTTTTTTAAAGACATGTACCCTTTGTGATACAATATTCTTCTAGGGCTGAGAGTTTTAAATAGGCTGCCTTGAGGGAATCTCTTCCACATCAGTGTCTTCCCCAAGGGAGCCTTTATACATTTTCGAGGATCTCTGTGTGTGTGTGCGTACACAGGATGCTAGGTAATGCTAGGTATGTAACTAGGTAACTGCCTCAGGTAACTGATCGTTTCCAGAGACTTCTGGCTGGACCTATCAAGCTTTACCTTCACCCCACATGAACTGAGAGTGCAGCCTAGAAACTGCTGACCTACTTCCCAATCTGCGCACTGCTGAAGATCCGTCATGGTGAAGGCAGTCTTTGGGGATAGTGTTTTTGTGATTACTGATCCCTACATTGGTTGCTTGGGGAGAATCCTTGAAGGGGAGACAGCTTTCAAGGAATTTCAAGGTTTATAGTTTTTTTTTAGCTGGTGAACCAGAACCCTGAGTAAGGAGAGTCTGTCTTTGTACAGCCTGGATAGACTTTGCTCAGTAGGCCTTTCCTATAGGCAAGGTTGGAACACAGGAAACAGGAATCAAAAAGCGAATTCACCTGCAATCCTGCGCATATTTAGATAGAAATAACAACCTGCAACTTTCTGCATTCCCCAGCCAGCCTTAAGCAGAGACGTGCTGTTCCAATGAGATGAACCTTGAGAATATTACATTTGTTATATAAGAAGTCCTTGATAATCCCAGCTCAAATGTTTCTGTTGCGTCCATCTAGGTTACCTTTAATGTGTGGGTATAGGACAGTGTGTAAAATCCTTGGCACAAAAATCCCTAGAAAACTTCACTAACGGCCATCTTTCCATATGCTCACAGGGAATCTGCACCATAGGGAAAGTCTCAAATCACTGACCGTGTCAGACCAGTAGGCAATTTGTGGCCCTCCAGATATTTTGGCTGACGAATCCCACCATCCCTCAGTATTGGTGAGGCTGCCTAGAGATGATGGAGGTTGTAGGCCAGAACATCTGGAGGGCCATCGCTTGCCAACCCATGTCTGTGAAAGCGTATTGCAACCTTCCTCTGCCTCCTGCCCTCCAGCTGTGCTGCGCTGGGTGGCAGCTTGCCATCCAGCACGTCACATCTAAAAGTCATTAGACTTGAGATTGGCATGTAGCAAGGGGGATCTTTTCTCCTAGAGTAGCCAGATGGAGTTAGGCACAGGAGGCCGTTGAGTCAGTATTTGGTAGCTGAAATGCCTGTGGATATAAAACACAGAATTCAGCAGCAGCTGTTGCATACTTGCAGCAAAGAGTAGGATAATCATCTTAATAGCAGGCTACTGGTGATTTAGGTAGTCTCTGAGGTTGAAATGGGAAAAACAGCAGTCTGCAGGCATATGTATGTTTATAAAATCAATAGTTTACTGTATTAACTCCCTGCCCTGCCACCCCCACCCCAAAGAATACTGGGGCATATAGCTTGCTCAGAATTCTCTGCTAGAGAGCCGCACTGCCCATCTTCCATCCGGTTTCTGAGCGTTCCTGGCTTCCATTGCACTGATTAAACTTTTAAAATAATTTATGTCTGCTGGGTAGAGAACACCATTGAATGGCTTAACTCCTCCTATTCACTGGTGCTCTGTCCCTTGTCCCTTTGCCTTATTTCCAGTAGTGTACCAGCACTGTCTCTTTGCCTCTCCCTGTATTGACTGGCAACCATTCCAGTCCCTGCCTGAGAATGCAAAATCTTAAAACAAGGCAATGCAATCTTTGCAGTCCAAACAATGACATATGACCATTTTTGTCACCGTACAGGCTGTGCGCAGAATTCAGATTGTTGTGCTTGTAGACACTGAGGTTCAGCCCAGATACAGACTTTCCCATGCAAACTCATGGGTCAGAATCATAGCTGAGGATGCTGGGTAACTTCTTATGTTCTCTTTCCATCATGTTGTAAGGCATGTCCTAGGGAGAAACCAAGTAGCTGAATGACATCAAGAGAGATGACTGTATTTTACCAGCAGGATCTAGTTTAGCTTGTCTTAGCACTGTCATGCATAAGTTTAGTTTTTAAAAATGTATCTTTTAAAGGAATACATATAATATCAGGAAAAAATGGAATGGTGGATTGGCCACCCTGCAACCTGCTTTTAGCAGGAAAGGAATGTGACTGGATATATCTGGTGATCCTTAACAGAAGGGAGATGCTTGGGAATGGAGGGCTTTGAAAGAGTCAGTAGTTTTCTGATTGGTTGAAGTGGCCAGCCACCTGGACGAGCTTTCCTGGGTCCTGTGCAAGGGAAAATGAGAAAAAGGGTTAAGACTGAGAAGTGTTCGGAGCAGATGAGTCATTGCCATTATGATCTGTACCATGCCTCCAAGTGTTCAGAGCACATTACCTGCATTATGTAATCCTTTGATCTTTACAATAAAGCTGTAAAATAAGCAATGTCCTCATATTGCAAGTAGAGGGTGTGGGAACTGAGCCTAATGGAGAGGCACAAATGACTGGGACTTCCCAAGTCATAGTTCAGTTGCATGGCCACTGTACTACATACATCCCATCAGTCTGTGCCAGGAGCTGTGTGTTAAGTCTGCCGTGTTTAGCTGGGCTTATGGCTTGGTATGTCTGGTTAGGATTGCTGTTCTGTTCTGTATTTGATGAGCTTCCCTTTCTGCTGTTCCTATGAAGTTGCTCTAAGTCACTGTGTTAAAAAATACCTTGATGTGAAAAACACTTCTTCCTGTTTAAACACACAAAATTATATATTTCTATGGCAGTTAAAAAGGGACAAGATTTAAATCTGAAGCAACGAAAAATGACAAGCAACTGTGCCTTTGTTCTACAAGCTGTTTTGGGAAGGTCTTTGACTCTGGGCAGTGTTTCCCCAGTCTCGCTTCCTCCTTGGCCCCTGTCCCCTTCAATCTGTGGCCTCGTTCACGCCCCTATCCTCAAGTGCCGTTTTCTTGGCCACACTGCCTATTCTGCTCCACTTCTTTTAGCCGCCTTGTTTAATGATTCCCTGTCCCTTAGTTCTGAACTTTTGGGCACTCATCTCATTAAGTGTCCCCAGCCCTCCTCTTCCCTGCCTACATACCAGCCTTGCCTGCAGTCCCCATTTCTGCCAATAACAAGCCTTCACTCAGTGTTGAAACAAAAAGAAGATACAACAATCAGCTGTCCATCTCCAGATGTGAGATATACATTTTCAGCAGCCAAGGGCAATCCTGTCATGGAGGCAGTACAAGACAATGAATATGTTACAGAAAGAATTATTTCACTGCAATATATGATTCCTAATTTATATGCACAGCGCAGCCTCTGATATTTTCTGCTCCATTGTGATGACCTTTAATATCTATCATACAGGCTGCATTGTTTGTCAATGTTCTACTGCTGAACCTTTTGCCATGAACATTTGGAATACTTGTGAATAATCCGTGAGATAGTTGCAAGAGGCCGGGTTACTTTGGAATTCTAGTTCTTTGGGAGCCACAAAAGTGGAGTTACTATCCAATGAGCAGATGACCAAAAAGAGCCTTACACTGGCTTCATGATCCAGTGGTGCCTGCATGAGGAAGTGCCTCCGAAGGGCATTTCAAAAAGGGTACGGTTGATAATATGCCTTAAAAAAAACCTGATTTGCCTGCTTAATGGCGACCTCCCTTCTTGGACCTCTTAGTGGGCAACCTGCAGCCGCGGAGTGCAGCAGTATCTCGGATCTGCTGTCCTCGAGCCTGAGAAGGTGATGCACAGGCTGCATCTGGACGTGAGCGAGCAGATTCCAGCCACCTACAGAAGGAAAAACAAACCCTCAGATTCACCAGGAGATCTCCTCAGGTTCTGTGCAAGACTTGCCAACCTCTGTGCTTTATTGGCATTGACTTACTGAGCAGTTTCTTCTTCTGCCCACCCCCTCCAATTTTAGAGGAGCTGGTGCACCAGTGAGATAGGGGAGTAAATGCTCTTTTACCTGCGCAAAGGTGCTAGCTGACAGGAGCAATGCCAAGGGTTGTTAGACAGGGTGAGTGTCTCCAGACGGCTGAATGGGAGGTTCTTAGGAAGACTAGAAAGTTTGTTGTTCTCCATGTGCATGGTCTTCAGTGTGGTGACACCAATGAATGCCTTATCTGAAAACTGAAGCACAGAAGCAGACAGCAGTCATTATGAAACCAGCGTGTAAAGCCCAGGCATGACACATTTAGGTTGTGCCAGAGTGTGTCTCTTTCTAAACCCTGGAGAGGAGGGAAGGGTGAAAGCAGAAACCTGTCACCCTTACTGCCTCTCACAAGAGTCATCTTGGTATTTGATTTTGTGCTTTAAAGTTGCTGAATTTATGAAACCACTTCCATGCCTTTACAAATGGGATTCATTTGTAATTAGATCTGTGGAGAGTGCAAGGTTTTAGCCAAATAAAAAAATATTGATCACTGCTTTTTGCTGCATGTCCTTTACAGAGGTGTGCTGACTTCTGACTTCTTCCATTTCTTTCGAGACATCACTTCACCTCTAAGCCAGCAAAGAGATCCTTTGGCTTTTCAGAGTCGAAATCCTTTCTGGCACCCAGTTGCCACATTCACGGAGGGGAGTATTTGTGGAAAATCAAGGGCCTGTAGACTTTGGCAGAACCCAGTGGACTCTAAATGGAAAGTTACACTTGGCATTTAAGCACAGAAGAAATGGCAAGGCAGATTTCCAGCTACTCAGATTTCTTTCTTTCTTTCTTTCTTTCTTTCTTTCTTTCTTTCTTTCTTTCTTTCTTTCTCTCTCTCTCTCTCTCTCTCTCTCTCTCTCTCTCTCTCTCTCTCTCTCTCTCCCTCCCTCCCTCCCTCCCTCCCTCCCTCCCTCCGTCCGTCCGTCTGTCCTGGTGATTTAGTTGCTCAGGACACTGCAGAACCTATACAATTATATCATAAATGTTTGCTTAGAAAGTATAGCTCTTTTTCAGAATTATAAGATGGTAAAGATAAAGGGTTGAAACAGCTCTTCCTGACTCAGCTCTTTCTTTGCCAGTTCTCATTGTCAGTGTTTACTTGGTTTGGAATCAGTCATCAACAAAAACTTCCTTGGAAGCACTTCATTTAGATTCTGAACTGTTGACTGTGCTTATAATGCTCTTTTCTCTGTCGACCTTCACCAGTCCCTGCATTCTTTCAGGGAATTGGGGAGATTATCCACTGAACCCAAAGAAAATTCTAAAAATCCATTTTCCACCACAGTGTTTTCCCAAAGCATCATGTATCATTCCTCCTTCTGGATATCAACTCCCAAGCATCTTCACCCTCTGTACTTTGGCAAGTGAAATATTCAATATTGACAGCATTATCAGCACCTGGCTATTAGGCAATATTTGCTTGTACTAATATTTGAAAGAGTAGCCACTGAGGAATAAATTAATTACTGAAGATAGCAACTGATGCTGGGAATTTCTCTGTGAACCATCTCTGAACGAATGAATCCCAGAAGATTCTGCTTGAGTTGTTGGTAGGGTTGTTTCTCCTAAAAGATGTGAAGGCAAGCAAGTAGCACTTTGAGACAGTGTGCTGCATCCTAGAAGTCCTTGTCCTGCATTGCAATTGCATTAGAAGATACTGTAATTCTTGCTCTTATTTATACTCATTCTTGAATACCTGGAGTTTTCTAGTATAGTCATGTTTTTCATGGTCAGCCAGAAGTGGTTCTGCTAAACTCCTCATTTATTGAGAGCCCTGATGCTGTGGTGTTTACAGGGTTTGACTGCAACTCAGGAGATCTAGGTTCTAGTCCCCGTTCAGCCATAAGGCTCACTGGGTGACTCAGCCCAGCCTACCCGCTGTGGGGCTATATGGAGAAGAGGAAGACCATATGAGCCGCCTTGGGTTCCTTGCAAGAGGAAAAGAAAGTGAGATATAAATGTCATAATAATTAGGGAATGATCTCCTGGAACATATGCAGTGATACTTTTAGGCTCCAGGTTAAGTAAGTCCTTCCACTTCTCTCAAGCATTTGGTAGCACATGATGTGGTTTTAATCAGGTTGAGGTTGATTATTCTTGTTGTTTGGTTAAAATGCTTTTGCATATTTGTGGGCCTCTTTGAGCATTGTCTGTTTCTGTTTGTATATATTTGGGTTTTTATACTGTATTTTAATGGTTTTAATCTTTGTAAACTGCCCAGAAAGCTTCTGCTCTTGGGCAGTATAGAAATGTAGTAAATGAAATGATTATAATTATGTAGGAATCGCTTTGCAAGTATCCAGCTCAATCTAACTGATAAAGTGCTATGGAATCCTTCCATTTTCTGCATAAAATATTGCTAGTTGTTTAAACCTCAGCTCCTTTTGCAAAGGATTGTGCCATTACCTTTTGTTAGGGTTCTTCTCTGTTCTTAGAGCTCTAATGCTAAAACAAAATGCAGCAAAGTCACTCCCTGTGCATACTGAAACGGGCATGCACCACAAGCGTCACCTGTGGGATGCAGGTAGCCCTCTGCAGCCATATGTACAGCCTCACCCGTCCCTGCTATCATTGCTTCCACCCCCAAATCCCCAGCAATTCTGCCAGGAAACAAGTATGGGAAGCCTGCTTCTGTCAAGACCCAGATTGTTAAATTTATTTATTTGCTTGTTTGTTTAATACTTTTATACCCTGTCCTATACCTAACAGTCTCAGGACGATCCAACAACAAGGTGCGCACCGTAGTCAGGGAACCCCACAAGGATACAGGAGGCTCAAGCCCTAGAGGTTTCCTGCCTTTGTACTGAAAGAATGTGTTCATTTCATTGAATGACCAAACTGAACTGTCCGAAGTAGGCATTGTGCTGTTGCAGCCATGTTAGTGGTACCTGTATGTGCCAGCCGGGGACAGTCAGAAGCCCAAATGGAGCTGCTGTACCAAGGAAACTAAGATGCAACTGTTCAGAGATCAAGCCCAGAGACAACTAGCTGAAGAAGTGGAAAGAGCCAGTGTGGTGTAGTGGTGAAGAGCATGGGACTGGGACTCAGAAAATCTGGGTTCTAGTCCCCGCTCAGCCATGGAGCCAACTGGGTGACTTTGGGCCAGTCATAGACTCTCAGCCCAACCTACCTCACAGGGTTGTTGTTGTGGGGATAAGATGGAGGAGGAGATGTACGCTGCCTTGAGCCCTTTGTAGGAAAAAGGCAGGATATAAATCAATCAATCAATCAAAGACGTGGGAGGGAGATCCTTTCTCAGGAATTCTGGCATGGGGGGACGCCACAGTGAGGGTTTCTCCCATGTGACTTAGTGCTTCTCACATTACCGCCGTAGCGTGGGAAGGAGCCCGGAGGCTCCCACTTCTCCAGCATAATCCAGAAAGTTCTGTGGCATATAAGTGAAAGGTATGGGGAAATTAAGTTTGAGAAGATGAAAAGGCTGTACAGAAGGAACAAGAACTGCAGCTTTCTGCCGGTGCAAGAAGGATTTAACTTAGTACTTGGCATATATAAAAAATCCATTCTATGGTGTTGAGGAATGAAATTCAATTTAGAATTGGTTTAAATTCAATTTAGACTCACATAAGACATGCATTTTCTTCCTGTATATTATCCTGTTCAGGCAAAACTGGAATTTCATGACTATTTCAGTACTTTCCCAGTATTCACAATAGTGACTGCATTGCTTTAATCACATCTCTATAATAATGAGCTGGTGAATACTATTTCAAAATCTACAGTAACTTTCTTAGGAGCAACCAAAATGCTCAACTTTGTGAACAAGCTTTCAAGGTGAAGCAATTTGAAGATGGAAAAGATCTCTCTCATCAACAGGACTTCAGTTGTGAATAAATTACCTTTCTTCTCAAACCTTCCTCCACCAATTAACACCTGCTTGATTTCCTAGCTTTAAATAATTACCTTAGCTCTATACTCTTGGTGATAATTTTTCAACAAAATATGTATTGCATGCCCATGCTCTGCCTCACAGATCTTATGTTGCTGTGATGTGCGTCCCTTTGCTTCTCTCGGAGGATTACTGTTTTGCTAGGAGATGTTGTGCTAATTCACCCGGGTAACCTCAGAATTGTACTACGGCATGTTGGAAACTGCACGCCTTGTTCACCTGGAAGTCATCCATCCTCCAGCTTCTCTTTGATGTGGTCTCATCCCGTGTGATGTCACTGCAGCCTCCTGCTTCCAAACAGCACCTCAGGCAAGATGCTTCTGCCTCTGGGTCATGACTCATACGTTGAGAAGAAGAGGGGCATTTTGCTGCATTACCTGAATGCCCCTTCAGCTCTCTGGCTAGGAACAGAGCCTCTTTGTGAAGTGCTGTGAGGGTTTCTCTTGAGAGATAATCAATAAACAAATCCGTCTTTGTAAAGTGTAAGGCTGGGGAAGATGGAGAAACATCCTTATGGTGGGTGCACAGGCTGCTTGTCTGTAGAATCTTAGCCAGTCACCGACGCAAATCATCCGTGCTCTGGAGACGATGGCATCCAGTCATGACAACGTCTTTTGAACAATGTGCAGTCAGCCTGGTAACTCGGAACAGAGCTTCACTCCCCCCGTTTTGCTAGGCTTGGGCATGGACTTCTTGTCATCCCTGCACCCCCCACTCCTGGTCCCAGTCCCTCAGTCTAAGTGCAGGTCTGTGCTGTGCCTGGCTGTCAACACTTGCTCACAGCAGGCACAGACCTTCTTGGCATTGTTTGTTTTGGAGGCCAGGCAGCCTGATCACCATTATTTACTCTTCAGCACATATTCGTTTCAACAGTGTGCTCAGAGCTCTGAAAAGAATCGGAAAGTCCCTGGGCAGAGCATTTGCCCACAACATTTTATAGACAAGATGAAGGTAGCAAAGGGAGGAGAGTTTTCAACTGAGAAATTGAAATGCAGAGAGGTAGGTAGTAGTGGAAGTGGTAGGGTGATGCAGAACATATTTGGCATCTCTTGAACTGGAACCTTAAAGAGAAATGTGTCCCAGGGTTATGATAAACACAGAGAGACAGAAAGAGAAACTGCTGTAAGGGAACTGTTCCAGGACTACTTCAAATCTGGCAGGTTAAAACGCAAAGAATTAAAATTCACCCATTTCTATTAAATTACTTTCTCAACATTTCAGTTGCACTTCACTGACATTTTCCTAAGAATTGGATGCTTTTGCTCTGCAGAGATGGAAAGTATTTGTGCCCTGTAGTTCCTTGGAAGAACACAGGAAGTTGCTAGTTGCATACAGCTCACTAGTCTACCTAGGCTGTGTTGTCAGCACTGGCTCATGGCAGCGGCTCTCTAGGGAGTCAGGCAAGAGTTCTTGCAGCCTTACCTGAATATGCGGGGTTTGAACCTAGGAATTTCTTCGTGCAACATATATGCTCTACCACTAAGCTTTACTTTCAAATATATTCATTTTCAACAAGGATTGAACTCATTACAATGGAGAAAAAGCAGGCACCTTAGAAAGTGTGGTCTCTGCACTGAAGTTGCTGCCAGAGCAAAGCCACTACTGATTTCATCCCATTTGCAACCTACTGGAGCAGCTCATCCAAGGTTCTCAGGCATTCTGCAGATGGTGCTGTTCCACTTTTAAAATCTGCAGGGTGACTGTTAATCAAGAAGAAAATAATGACCTTTGCTTCATTCTCTAGGCTATAAGCTAGAGAGGAGAGGAGAGCTATCCTTTTCCCAGCCCTGCCCCTTCTTACTTCTCCTTGACCGTCATGGAAGCCGTTCTGTCAAGCAGAGCAAGGGGCATGCCCAGACATCCAGACATTTTTCTCCAAGCCTGGCACTGCCTCTCCCTTTGCCTCAAACTGAGCAAAGCATGCCGGTCCTGAGGAAAAGGCGAGGAATGTTTTCATTCTCCAAACTTAGAAGCTGTTTATGGAGAGGGAATTCCCTTCTTCTTTGAAACACATTGTCTCCTCCTCTAATTAATCTGGTGCTGCTGTCAGAAGAGGGAGGAGGAGATCACATCCCTTCACAGCCTTATTTTATAGCTGCCTGGTGTTAGTTCCCCTGCAATGTTCTTTCCAAGCACAGCACGTTTCTTTCTCACAAAGGGATGGTTTATACGGTAATGGTAAACTGCACTGACACCATGAGGGTGAATGGCAACTATTCATTCAAATGAGAGAACGTAAAGGGGTGCACTTCAGAACACCCTTTGGAGTTTAAACCTGTTCCCTTTCTCTAGTGAACTCAGCCACTGTGAAGAAGAACACGAGTTTTGAGAGCACTTACCTTTTCTAGGCCCATGTTATCCAGGCTGAGAGTCTCCATGTAGCGTCCAAAAGACTGGAAGGCTAGGTCTGGAATGACTTTCATGGGGTTGTGCGAGAGCTTCAGGTCCTCCACCACCCTCAGCTTGCTCATGGCAGCCACTGGGTAGCTGGTCAGCTGGTTCTTATCCAAGTGGAATATAGCTAGGTTTTCCACATCATCCAGAGCTCCAGGCTGGATGGAGGAAATTGAGTTATCAGAGAGGTAGAGCCAGCGAAGGTCCTTGGCGCCATGGAAGGCTCCTGCTCTCAGCTCTCTCAGCTTGTTGCTACCTAGCTGCAGGATAAAAAGGTTAATCAGTGGGGAGAGGAGTCCCTTGGGCAGCTCAGTTATCTTGTTATGGTCTATGTAGAGGTAGGTGAGTTCTGTCAGATCATCAAAGGCTCCCATCTTTATTACACTGATGTCATTATTGGACAAATAAAGGTAGACCAACTGCTTCAGACCCCGGAAGGCTCCGCTGGAGATCTCTTTGATGTGGGAATGCTGGAGGTGGAGAGACACGAGGTTTTTCATTTCCCTGAAGCCATTGGTTGGGAGGACGGGGAAGTTGTTCCTCTGCAGATTGAGAAGCCTGGTCTGCTCAGCTACTTTGGGAATCTTTCTCAGTCCAACATTGTCACAGATGACATGCTGGAGGTCTCCTCCATGGCAGTGACAGTTCTGAGGACATGCCTGAAGGATGGGCAGAAGGCACACCAGCAAGCAGAAGAGCTTGAAGAAGAAGCCTAGCTGGTCCATCTCCACAGAGCTGCGATGGATGTGCAGGGAGGAGGAGGAGCAGCAGCGAGAGGAGGAGGGAGAAGGTAGAGATTGAGAGAATGTGTCTGCAGCAAGCTGAACACAGCCCTATTTATAATGTTATTAAAAAACAAAATCCCTTCCCACTAACCGCAGGCAGCAGCCAGACTCCGACTTGGAAGTAACTGGCTTCTGGAACTTGGTGTGACTTTAACCCCTTGGCACCAAGCATGCATTGGTGTTCCTTCCTCCTCCTCTTGCTTTGATGCTGGGACTTCACCCTCCCATCAGGGAGAATGATCCCTGCACATCTATTGCTGTGGGACTCCTGTATGCACCCTATTTTCCCACATGCCCAGGGAAAATAGAACTTGTCCCTGCATCCCTTCTTTTTCATGAATTGTGAGAGGAACGTTCTCCTTGTTGCGGTCTAACAGTGTGACTAACACAGAAAAAATCTGAATTCCTCCAGCATCCAGAGCACAGGGCATCTTTGTAGTCTGTTCCATGAGCATATTGATTGGCTTCGTGGTTGCAGACCACCTTCTCTCCCACCAGCCCCCGTGCCCAACTCATAGTGGTTTACATGGGGCTCAGTATGTATGCATCAAACCTCACTTTTTGTAATAATAATGGCTGTAACAAAAACATTAGCATTTTAGACTGTCAATTGACTTTGGTTCTTATCCAGTAAAAGGGGGTTATACAGTTAACCCCTCCACAGCTGGAACAGTTTCCATCAACTGAATAAGGGGCATTCCTATCCCCCTGCACCCCGTATTTATTTTTATTTATTTATCTATCAATTTATATCCTGCCTTTTTCCTCAAAGGGCTCCCCAAAAGCTGTTCCAGAGGGATTGGAGCAGCTTTGGCGGAACACAGGGATGGAAAGGAGAGAAGGGGAAAGCCCTGTTGTGCCAGCAGAGGTCAGCTACTGTGCAGGAAGTGCCCGCTGTATCACAGAGGTTAGAATGAGACAGCAATAGCAGCTAAGCTTTTGAAAACGAATCTGTAGGGCGGGCTTGCCCTTGTTAGTGAAAGATACAATACAGGTAATTCTGCTTCCTGTTCCATTTCAAATGAACTACACTTAACAAAAAAAAAGTCAAGTTTTACATAAATTCTATTGGCATAATAGGTGCAGGGAGGGGATGCTTTAAAACAATAATAAAACACATACTATCCCTAATCAGTAGCAAAATTTACATACAACAGTCAAGACTTCCTCCACTCATTGCATGCCCACCATATGCATGTCCAGCCTATCCTTCAACACCCTCACCGATGGGTCCTGTGGAAGCCCATTCCATACCCTCAGGGTCCTATCTGTCAGGAAGTACTTCCTGGCATTCAAGTTGAACTTTGGTTCCCTGATCTTTGCTCCATTGGAATGCTTCCTGCCCTCCTGCACAGGGGAAAACAGGTCTCTACGCATCTGGCTATGCAACCAAGGGTGGTGTTCACCCTCTTGACCACCATGTCATACTGCTTACTCATGTTTAGCCTGAAGTCAACCAGTACTCCGAGGTCCCTTTCATAAGTGTTGCTCTCTTGCCACTTGTCCCCTAACCTGTACTTATGACACCCATTCCTATGCTATAAGTGCAAGACCTTGCACTTATCTGCATTGAACGTCATCCTGTTCTCTCCTGCCCACTTCCATAGTCTGTCCAGATTTTTCTGGATCTCCTCAGTTGTGGCCACCAACCCCATTTTAGTATTGTCTGTGAATTTGATCAGCAGACTGGTCACCCCCTATTCTAGGTCATTGATGAAAAAATTAAACAGGATTGGTTCCAGGACAGAGCCCTGGGGGGCTCTGCTCATCACTGGTTACCATACCAGTGATTCCCTACTAATAGTTACCATCATGCTTTTGGTCCATCAACCTTGTCATAATCCATCAGACAGTGCATTGGTCTATTTCAAAACTCCTCAAATTCTTAACCAGGATATCATGCAGCACTTTGTTGAAGACCTTGCTGAAATCCAGGTAAACCACAGCCACTGCATCCCCTCCATCTAGCCACCTCGAAACCTTGACATAGAGTTCCACAAGGTTCATTTGGCAGAACCTGTTTTTGTGGAAGCTGTTTAGCATGGCCACCAACCTCCCTTCCCTATCTAGGGTTACTAGACCCCTCCCTATTGTGAGCCTTTCCATCATCTTCCCCACAATGGACGTAAGGCTAACTGACTTGTAATTCCACATGTCCCCTCTATTACCCTTTTGAACACTGGGACCACTGACGCCACCCTCCAGTGCTCTGGAACCCCACCTGTTCTCCATGAGGCCTCAAAAATGGAGGCCTGTGGGCACAGGAGCACCCCTGCCAACTCTTGAAGTACCCTCAGGTGTAACCCATCAGGACCCAGCACCTTTGAAACGTCCAGTGGCCTGAGGAGCTCTTCGACTTCTAGGAGAGTGACTCTAATGTGTCCCCCTAAATCCCTGGCCTCATCCCCCCCCCCACCATGTAGATCTCCCTCATCCTGCTTTGGGGAGAACACAGCAGCAAAATAATCATTTAGCACCTGTGCCTGTTCCCTCACATCAGTCACAGAATCCCCTTCCTCCTTATTAAGTGGTCCCACCGCCTGTCTCCCTTCCCTCTTGCTAGTTACACGTTGATAGAAGCCCTTTTTGTTGCTCCTGATATTCTTTGCAAGTTTCAGCTCATAATCAACCTTAGCCTTGTGAAGAATCCTTCTGCAATGGCCCTCCTCCCCCCGGTATACCCTTTTGTCTACTTGCCCCAGTGCCCATTTCCTATGCAGCTTCCTCTTACACCTAATCCCTCTTACCACCTCTCTTTGCATCCACGGCGGCATTGTCCTCCCCCCGCACCCCGCTAACTAGCAGTATCATCAAGGCCTGTGCCTCCAAGACTTTTGAGTGCCATCCACCCCTCCTCAACTCGCTTACCTTCCAGTAACCTATCTCAGGAGACTTTCCCCAGTCTGGCCTTCAGCTGACTAAAGTTGGCCCTCCTGAAGTCCCAGCTTCTAGTACTCAACCTGCCACTTGTCCCCATTCTCCTGATCTGAAAGCAAAGGATGGAGTGATCAGTTGCATCCAGAGCTCCCCTAATTTGCACCCCATCTATCAGCTCCTCTCTGTTGGTCAAAACCACATCAAGAATATTCCCCCATTCGTCACCTCCTGGACCCTCTGCATGAAAAACCCTCCCTCTATAGCATCTAGGAAGCAACGTGCCCTGGCCGTTCCCACCTGGCCGTTGCCCCTGGTCACACTCTGCACATTCTCCCAGCCCCTGTTGCTCCACCAATAGCCACAAAAAGAAAAAGGTGGGGTTATATGGAAGCTACATATACACTTCTTTTGCTTACTTTGGACTAACCAGGCCCTTATGACAACTAGTACCTAGCCGCATCCTCTGTCACAGCCATTTTGTAGTAGTGCCTATAGCAGCTTCCCAAATGATCCCAAACAAGCTGCTAACTCCCAGCCTAAGACATCCCAACGACACATGCACACTAATGAATCTGCAGTAGGGGAATATCAATACTAACCTACCTTAAAGAATGAGTGTGAATTACTGTAGCAATGTATGCAAAATGTGTGTAGCCACCTTAAGTGTTCTACTTAATGCTATGTATTCCCTTTTAGCAAGATCCTCAAGACCAAGTGGTAGAAATTTTATTGGGCTCAAACTTGCTGGCGGACTCCTAGGCTGATCAAGGACTGTAGATGTCCCCAGGAAAGCCCCTGACTCAGTAGGAGCAGCCTCTGATCTCCCACTGATTACCTTCCTGGTAATATGAAGTAATATACCTTCATAGCATCCGCCCTTTGGCCTGAACAGGTGCCTCTTACCTGGTTGTATGGCCTTCCACTGGTCTTTTCCTCCCTGTTGATTAAGTATCGATCCATTTTCTGAATGCATGTGTCCATGGTCCTCTGTGACATTTATAAAAGGCCTTCTCTTGTGCAATCTTGTTGCATGTAACACCTGAGCATTGCTGTTCTAGCTATCTCTGGAATGAGCTTTCATTTGCATCTTGATCAGGTCCCTTTAACTTAGTTTCGCATATCTTCTTGTGGCCATGCAGCTGTGCTATTTGGTAACAGAAGTGTCCAAGAGGATGATGGGATACAATGTTTTAAAACCCTTTATTAATAGTCAAGTACTGTATATAACAAGGGTAGATTTGGCTAAATATTTAGATGTCATCATTTCTGGTAACCTAACAGTGTAAGATGGATGATGAATGTGAATTTACTGTATTGCATTTTTGTATTGATTGTATTGTGAGCTGCCCAGAGAGCCTTATGGCTAATCGAGGGGCATGTAAATCAAATAAATAAATGTGGCAGTGTTGTAAACTGCCCAGAGAACTTTGGCTGTGGGCAACATAGAAATGCAATGTCATCATCATCATTTTCATCTAGGGGAGAACTGTGGCCCAGATACAAATGCAAACATACTCTGATGGTACTAAAAATGTGAGTAACTTCCAAGTAACTGGAACTCATTACACTGATCACAAATAGACTAATTCCTAAGAACCCTGAGGTATTGGATGGCATTTATTTACAGTATTTTAAACCCATTTCTGTATAAAAAGAGATTCAGTGGCTAACCATTGAATAAACAGAACCATCAAAATTACAATAAAACTAGAATTAAAACAGAAGCAAGCCAACAGCAGAAAACCATGCTTGATCAAGATACAGCACTCCAAGAAGGGCTATCCCACTGATCTCCCCCAAAAGGAAAAGGGAGGACTGGATCGAGGAAGGGGTGCCAGCGCGGCGCAGCCCGGCCCAGCCCAGCCCGGCCAAAGGCAGAGATCAGCTACAATGGTGTGGATAAGAGAAAGCACAGGAGTCAAGGACCTCCGTTAAGAGTGAGGTGGGGCGATGAAAGAAAGCACAGGGTGGTGGATGGAAGTGGAACATTTTGAGCTGATCTCCAGCCAGGTCCTGACTGTAAAAAAATAGCTGGGAGCAGTGGAGATACAACTGTGAGCTTGTTGAGGCTTCCACCGCTGAAGCTGGCTACAAAAGCGGGGCTGGCTGGGGTGTT